CAGGACTAACACTGACATATGTTGTTGTTTGTCATCCAATGTGGTCAAAATGACCAATATGGAATTTTCAAAGAATATAGAATCATTTGCTTTGAAATAAGTGCTTAGGGAACCCCCCCCCCTCCTGTGGGGTGTTTGGGTTGGGCCTTCCTAGCCATTTTCCTTCTACTCAACTCAGATCTTAATTAAGCTATTTGTCCTTCAGTTCACAATGACTAAACAAAGAGATAATTCAACTTCCAGGTTCCGAGACAGAATCTGGCTTTTTCAAATTGATCCATTTAAACAGAGCCCTCATCCTTGACATACTGCATCTCTCATCCACATTAATATAAAAAAAATCTTAGAGCAGAGTCAGTTTGACATCATAAAAAGCAGTGTTTGTGTTTATTATATTATTTCAACTACGAATGTTTTCCCATTCTCATGACTCTCTTGATTAGAAAACCTGCTATGGTTTGGAATTGACACTTAAGCTAGCACACAGCATCCTTTTGAAACCAATATGAAAATTACTTAGTAACAAGTTATTAGGATGGTTTTCAATCTCACAATGATGGGCCTTGTTAAACATGAGGCTCCATTTAGTTTTGCCACAAGGATTCAATGTGATTTTGTGTACAATAAAGTTCAAGGAAACCTGCTTAAAGGGCCCTACACATAGGAAGCACTCAAATATTTGTTGATTTGAATGCAAAAGTGACTTCCAGCTAAAGTCCTTTACCTGCCAAATTTACAGGACTGCTTAACAAATAATAATCCCTTATGTTTACAGAGTTCCCACAGCACACAAATTGACATGGCTAACAAAGCAAAATCACGTGTTGCTATAATGCCAGCAGGCTATTACTGAGGACCAAAATCAAACCTTGAATAAACAAGTTTACTTACATTTAAAAATCTCTGGATAAAACTCTGAATAGTAAAACAGGTTAGAGTCATAGAATCTTAGGATTAGACTAGGTGACCTTTATGGTCCCTTCCAACTCATTAATCTAAGCATGAATTTTATGATCAATGTTCCATCAAGTGTTAGCCACCACTTAAACATCTCCAAAGATTGTGAACTCAATACCTCCCTCAATAACCAATTCCACTTCTACACAACTTTAATTATTACAAAATTCTTCCTATTGAGCTAAAATCTGCCTCTTTATAATTTCCATCCATTAGTTCTGCCCTCTGGAATGATGCAGAGAATTCTAATCTCACTACCCCATAATAACCCTTCAAGAATGTGAAGATAGCTACCATGTTCTATCCAAGCCATCCAGGTTTCTGCATTTTGGTTTCTCATTCAGCATCTTTTCCATATCCCTCACCATACTGGTTATACTTCACTTTGTTGATGTCCTTCTCAAAATATGGTTCACTAACCATAACTCAGTACTACAATATAATCTGACCAATTCAGACTATAGTGGTACTACTGAAAGTAATAGCCTTGATTTGGATGGTATATTTATTAATGCAGTCTAAAATTATAATAGCTTTTCAGAGGGCCTCATTCTTATATTCAAATTTCTGTCAAATCAAATTCCCTCTTTTTTATATGAATTACTATTTAGTTACATATTTCCTGCTTATACTTGCCTTTTTCACTCTAGGTACTAGCCTTTACTTAGAATAAATTCATTTTAAATTAGGCTTTAGGTATGGGTCTTTGAGAACAGTGAAGATCCTGAAACTGTGTTTCAGCAAATGAGCCAATCCTCCCAAGTTATGTCATCTCCAAGTTTAAAAGGCATGTTACCTTGTCGTTGATACAAATGGAATTTGTAGTTTACCTAAAGACAGACCTTAGGCATGCCATGAAAATGCCCCATCTAGGTTTGTATTAATTCTATAACTGATACTTTTTTGGTCTGGCCAGTCAGTTATGGACCAAGCTAAATATACAGCCATCCAATTAACATTTTATGTGCCATCCACAAGAAAATTGAGAGAAAGTTGTGCCAAATGTCTTGCTAAATGAAGGTCTAATACATTTCCCTATTCATATCAGAAATACCAACCTGTCAACAAAGTAAATGAGGTTAACTGGCAAGATTTATTTGTTCTTAATGAATCTTTGCAGTTTTCTAGTGATCACTAAATGCCTACAAACCTTAAACAGATAATTTGTTCCGGAACTTTGTTGGGGATGGATAGATGTTAAATCCATTAGTTTGCATTTTATAGAATACACCCACTTCCTTAAAAAAATCAGGAAATATTTGAACATCTCCACTATTGGGCACCTCTCCAATCCTCCAGGATTCCTCAAATACTGACCAAGATTCAGCAATCACTTCTGGTTACTCTTGCAGATTAATGTGATATACTTTATCCCAAACAGGTGATAAGAAGGTATTTAATAAATGCTTGTTGACCTTAGGTGCTTCTTTTACTATCTCCTCACTCATCCTAGGCTTTAACTACCTTTTAACTAAGGTATGAAAACTTTGTTTTATCCTTTTCACTGAGAAGATTATTCTTCTGGATAAATAGGGACAGAATATAACCCTTTTCTACCCCCCCAACCCCCTTTTCACTGTTAACATCTAGGTATGGGTGAAAAATACCATCTAAATTCCTGAGCAATTAGTCATAAAGTCAAGCTTTCAACGAAATTCAGCTATAGTACCTTTAAAGTGGGCCTGGGGAGAAAGAACTGGTAAGTGATGAAGTATTTTTGTTGTTGTTTAATAAGTCATAGAATATTTAACAAGCAAAGGCCACATACTAGAGAGTAGCACTCAATTAAAGGGTTAGAAAATGTGGCTGTAGTCCCAGCTCTTCTACTAACTAACTACTTGACCTTAAGTAAGTCATTTGACTTTCTGAGTCTTGGTTTTCTTGTAAAATGGGGATAGCATCTGACATGGCTATCTCAAAATTTTGCTCTGAAAATCAAAAAGAGAGAACAAATGTGAAATAATGTTATGAACTGCAAAAAGTACTATGCAAGATTCAAATTACATATGCCCTGTAAAAACACTTACAAGTCCAGTTAATAAAAATCCCACTCTAATCATTCTGACTCTACTGACTTCAAAATTACCCAGAATGAAACCTAAAGGATGAAAAACCATAAAATTACAGGTGAATCTCTATAGCAGTGACCTTCCACGTTTCAGAGGCCTTATATCAAAAGTTCTGTTCAAGGAGAATTCACGTAAAGTCACTGTAAATATTTACCAAAGTTATCACCCAGTGGGAAACATGCATCTTTTTCCTTAAAAAATCAAACAAAAAAATGCTCCAGACTGAGTGTCCCAAAAGATTTGGAAATAGAATAAAGTGTGTCTCCAAAAGTTATGGCATTTTGGAGATATTGCTTAATGATAAGTGCTTCCTTTGAGAAGTAAACTGCATACCCATTTTCCCCAAGTTACTAGGTTAAACAATAATAAGGAAGAAGAAAGTCTTAGACTTAATACACTATGGCTCTACACCAATGTGGAATGAGTTTGGAGCTGCATTTATCATTTAAAAAAAACTGAACATTGTCTTTATTCTGCTTTAGACAATAGTCCCAAGCAAATATTTCTTAACAAGGTCTACTAAAAAGAGCTATAATTGGCAGTATGAATAGAATAGCATTTCTAAACATTCTCTAAAATGTGACCAACCATTTTGAACACCATATATCATTTCAATTGAAATGTCAGGGCAGAGGTTTCTTATTTCAGTAATTTCATTGTATTATATGATTTCCTAACATTTCAACAATGTTATAACATGTCTATGACTTATTTAAATCGAAATCTCCCTTACATACCAATTCCTCAGGAAAAAAAAAAGATTAACTCAGCTTATATGAGCAAAATAAAACCATGTTTTCAACCTATTGATGTTGAACCTTTTTTTAACCTTAAAAATGGATTATAGAATTTATTCTCCCCATTTAAAATATCCAGTACAGGTTGCTTCTCACTTAATCAGCATGACACAGTCTTGCCCTTCACAGGACTCCCACTGGGTGCCACTGGAAAAAGGATGAGGCTAAACAATCACTAGATCTAAAAGATTTTGAAACCAAATCCCAGAAGCTTTGAAAGAGATGGCCCCATTGGCTAAAAACTAGAAGCAGCGAAAGCCGCACAAACCCAGACTAACGACCCATGTGGGAATGCAAACCTTGCCCTGCTAAGAGCTATGAAAAAGACAATCGCTTCCTGACAGATGCTGCCAAGTCCAGTCAAAGGCTCAGCCAAAAGGGCTCCTTTGGTCACTTGACTGTTAACTCTTTCCCTTCCCTCCAAAGAGGATTTTTATTTACTTTATTTCAACCAAACCAACTGCCCAGGACAGTGACTTTCTCCTCATATGCGAAACACAAACGGCTGAGGAATACCTCCGCATCAAAGAGGGGGGAGGACCTCGAGAGAAAAACTTTACTCACCCAGCATTCAAAAGAACAATGGCTTTGTTTAGTCTGCCAACTGAAGGTTTCAGTAGTGAGAATATGAAGTGAGGGGATGAATCCCAAAGGGCTGAGGTGTTGACAGAACCCACGAAAGGAGGGGCGGGGGTGGGGGGGGGGGAGGGAGTGCACAAAATTGATGGGAATGCTCAAGGAATGTAGCCGGGCAGGGAATTATAAACCCGGTAAAGTGGGATGCTGGAGCATTGAGGACAGGTGAAACATGAGCAAGAGAGAAGGGGGAAGGTTTTAGTCTGTGTGTCCCTGAAGAGATACTTCTAAGCACAGGTGGTTGGGGATAGAAGGGAGCTAAGGGAGTAATGGGGAGCAGGTCAGAAAAAGCAGGTGCAAAAATTTCAGAAGCCTGCAAATGACATGGTCCAGGAGTTAAGACTTGGGGGGTGGAATAGAGAAATATTTAGAGAACTCCCAGGAAAAGCAAACCCCAGAGGAGAAAGTGGCAGGAGGCAGGGAAGGAGTAGTGTGAGAACACGTGAAGGAGCCCACGCCACACGCTGTTCGCATTTCTTGAGCCCTTTTCTACTCCTACCAACCCAAGGCACTTCGTTGTTCGGTAGCGGTAGGTACCCACCTTTCCCAGGAGGGCGCTCCTGCTGGCTGCTGCCAGCTCTCGAAGACTGGCGGCGGCGCTGGTGCCCCCGGAGATCGTGGCAGCGGCTGCGGCGGCGGCTGGGTGATAGGCTGGGGAACCCGGGGCATTACCTCCACCTCCTCCACCCCCTCCAGCTGGGGTAGGACCATGACCCCTGGCCGTGGGGCTATTCCCGTTGCTGCTGCAGCTGCTGCTCCCACCTCCCCCGCCGCTGCCTCGGGGTCTCTGGCGGATGCCATCCAGCAACCTGACGAGCAGGATGTTGGCGGGCAGTTCATCCACCCCACAGCCCACCAGGATGCGACACTCGGGGCAGCGCAGCTCGTGGCGAGAGCAGACGATACTTTCTAGACAGCGGCGGCAGAAGGTATGTTGGCACGGGAGTACCTTGGCAGTAGTGTCCAGACGTTCCAAGCACACCGAGCACTCCAGCAAATCCAGCAAGGAGGACTCGTCCATCTCTTCTCCTCCTGCTGCTGCTGCTGCTCGCCTCCTCCTCCTCTCGCCTTGCCTTTCCTCTTCTCCTTCGCTCTGCGCTGCAGCGGCTTTGGAAGCGCACAACCAAGACGCTCCTAGGAGCATGGAGTCCGGTGGTGGTGGCTGCAGGGAACGCAGCAGCCCTAAGTCCCCGGTACTGTGGGCCTGCCGCTGGCAGGAGGCATCAGGGCAGCCACCGTCCAGGGGAGACGCGGAAGAGGGGTCCCAGCCAACTTCATCCACAAATTAACAGCGGGTGTAGCCAGGAAACGCTAGGAATGAAGAGCAATGGGGAAGGGGGAGTTTTCCAGCTCCCTCCCTCGATCTCTGGACGTGATGTCACCACCTCCCCTCTTCCCAGCGCTGGGTCCCGAAGGCTATAGGAGCAGCAATGAAAAAGTGGCGCAGAAACAGCCCTTCGGACGGGCTTCAGGAGTTACGCGCTCTCTGGGGAACCAATTCCTACCCAGCTCCAAGCCAAAATCTCACCCTTCCTTGCAGCTAGATCTCCAGACCCCCTCCCCCCCCAAGTCCCTGGGCCTTCCGAGCAAATCAGCTGTCCTCCCCGCAGGGGGCAGGCAGGCATTAGGATAAGATGAGCTACACCTGTCTCTCCCACGCGTGTCCACGGGTGGGTGGGGCGCAGAGGGTAAAATCAGTCAAGCGGGGGCAGGACTCGACTTCGTGGGCTCCAAAGGTTCAGTGGTGGCCCAGGGAACCAGAGATTGTAGTCTTCAGACCGAGGAAAGTGAGAAAGCAAACGGCAGCAGCAGCTGAACCTACAAGACCAGAGGAGTCTCAGGAGCTTTGTCAGAGCTTCCCCACCGCAGCCCTGCCAAACTGTACCGCCTCCGCGGCTTCTCCATGGGGCTCCCCACCACCTGATCGCAGGTCCCCGTGGCCTCCCTCCCGGGAGCTCCTCGCGTTAGCTGGATCCTCCCTTTTCCTCCAGGAAAAAAACAAAGTGCACTAAAGCTAGGACTGAAACAAACTGGCAGGGAGTCAGTCACCTTCACTGCAGGATGCTGGGTACACAAGACGAGTGGAGGTTAAGGGAAAGGGCAAAAATCCACCTCTCGATACAGTAATTTGTTATTCCCTCTAGCTGGCTGGTGGCAGCCCGTGATCCACCTTATATAATCCTTCTGGAGTCATGAAAAAGGAAGGGCTGGGGGGGGGGGAACCCTTTGAGTCTCTCTTCTCACTACTGATAGTCTCTCTTTCTCCCATCGATTATTACCATCTTCTCACTCCGAGTAGAAAGATATTTACCGTGATTATTACCATCTTCTCTCCCCAAGTAGAGAGATATTTACCGTGGAACTCAGAGATTCAGTCAAGCTGATCTGAAGCGAAAGGGATCATAAAGTTTGGTCTGTGTTGTCAGAATCCTCCTCTTCATCTCTGGAGTCTGTTGGGATTGGGGTTGGTTTGTTTTGTTTTTAGGAGAGACTCGGGCTTGAGCACAGGATGCATAATTCCAGACCGCTAACTCCCACGAGCATCCTAAGCCTTCTCTCTCCCCTCTGCTCCTCCGGAGGAATGACAGCTACAGAGATGCCCTGGGATGCTGCTGCAGCAGTCACGGCTGCTCCAGCTAAGCTTGGTGCTAAGCACTGGAAGGGAGAGATTCCTGAAGTTCGCACTAGCTGCGCAATTTACCGCGACTCTGATCTCCAAGACAGTTTACGGTTACGCACTTGACCTCGGGGCTCCCGACCCTTTTGAGCAGCTGCTTGAGCAAGGCCTCCGGCAGAACTGCAGATCCTTCAAGCCTCTGTGCCCTCTTGCTGCCCTTTTAACGCCCAGCAGGGACACACTGCCCCTCCTCTGGCCGAAAGTGATCGCCAGAGAAACTCTCTGCGCTCTCCCACGTCCAAGGGAACGCAATTCTAGTGATTGAGATGTCTTGGAAGCCTCTTCCGTCTCCCGGGGCAACACCTCTTCACTCCTACTCGAATTTCCCTTTGGGTAAGAGAAGAGGGATGGATAGGGGGAGGGAAAGAATCGATTTCTCCTGCCCGACCCCCTGGCTCAGGAGAGCGTCAGAGCAACGGAAATACGTACGGGAGGAACTGGAGAAGCTGGGGAAGTTTGGTAGGTTTGCTTGCCAACTGAAGAAAAGATAATTCCCTGCAGCGCGCTGCCCCCTCGTGGTGGTATTCTGTCCCAAGTTCAGAATTTGTCTCCACTAACTGACTTTCAGGTTTGTAGTCTTCTTGGCTGGCGGGATGAACATCTATCTCTTATGCAGTGGTCACAGCATCTTCACAAGGTCAGAATATCCCAGGGACCCTCAGTTTCGGGATTTTTCAAAAGAGGGAGGGGCAATCTAGGACCTGCCACACCCTGGAAATTATGACCCTGGATCATGAAGGTCATGCTCCCTTTGTGTGTAGGGGGGGATTTCTTATAGACCAAAAGACACTACAATTAGAAAATGACCTTGGAGATCATGTCCCACTCTTGAATTTTACAGATGGAAGGTGGACCTGAGGCTTAGAGAGATAGTGGAGGTAGTCTAAGGTCACACAAGCATTTTATAATTCCCAGTATACAAATCATTCTAACCATTACTAAACAACCTCTCCCATTTTGAAGCCCATATTATTTCCTTATCTAGCTTAGAGTGGACAAACAATTAAACTTACTATATCTACACAGACCCAGACCATGTTTCACATCCCCTCCCTGATGTCCACCCCAGCCATCTTACCATTTTTTCTAAGTCTGCTTGCAATACCTCTCCTCCTCTGCTTTCCACCTCTTACTGTCATTAATAATCAAATCAATACGATTATATTGTTCTTGGAAAGAGTCTGTCAATTGACTTCTGTAAGAATCAACTCGGCAAAACAGGATCAACCCTGTGATTCCCCAGACACTCCCATCCCTGGGCACCACTCTCATAGATGAGTTGTCTGCCTGTATTAGAATAAGCTCCTTAAGTGAAGGGACTGACTTATCTTGATGATTGTGTGGAATTCCCAGCCTGACAACTAATAAAAATTTAAAGATTTTTTTCCTTTCACACATTCACTCCATCTCCTCTTCCTTGTTGTAGTCCCTAAATCTACCTTTCATGGTGCCTTATCTTGTTTGATCCATTCCAAAGTCAAGTTCACCTCCATTCACAACCTTCTTTACTTTTACACCCTCTCATTCCCAGGGGACATCTCCAGTCATCCTGATCTATATCTTGCCACTGGACCCAGATGGCTCCAGAGGAGAAAGTGAGGCTGGTGACTTTGCACAGTCCTCTCTCACTTAAATCCAATTTACTTACAAGTTATGACATCACCTTCCTGATGTCTTGGTCCTCTTCAAGAAGGAAGGACAAACAACAACTCTCACTTACTGAAAATGCTTCATTATGACCTCACATCTCCCAGTCTTTCCCTACTTTCCTCATTTCAATGATGCCTTTATCTTTTCTTTCAAAAAAATTATTTATTTTTAGCATTCTTTACCTTTTAGATTTTGAGCTCCAAATTCTATCCCTCCCTCCTACCCCTCTCCCATCCACTGAGAAGTCAAGCAAAGTGATATCAATTATACATGTGAAATCATACAAACACATTTCCGTATTAGCCATATCACCCCCAAAAAAGCGAGAAAATTATACTTCAGTCTGCATTTTGAATTCATCAGTTCTTTCTCTGGGGATGGATAACATTTTTTCATCATGAGTCCTCTTTAATTGTCTTGGATCATTGTACTGACCACAGTAGCCAAGGCTTTCATGGTTGGTCATCATTACAACACTGCTGTTGCTGTGCACAATGATCTCTCAATTCTTCTCACTTCATTTTTTTGGGGGTGAGGCAATGAGGTTAAGTGACTTGCCCAGAGTCACACAGCTAGTAAGTGTTACCTGTCTGAGGCCGGATTTGAACTCGGGTCCTCCTGACTCCAAAGCCAGAGCTCTATCCACTGCAACACCTACCTGCCCCTGGTCTCACTTCTTTTTGCATCAGTTCATATAGGTCTTGCCATATTTTTTTCTGAACCCACCCCCCTCATCATTTCTTATAGCACAACAGTACTCCATCACAATCATATGTCACAACTTCTTCAGCCATTCCCCAATTGATGATCATCTCCTCAATTTCCAATTCTTTGCCACCATAAAAAAAGCTGCTATAAATATTTTTGTACATTTGCTCTTTTTCCTTTTTATTTGATCTCTTTGGGGCATAGACCTAATAGTGGTATTGCTGAGTCAAAGAATATGCACAGTTTTATTGACTTTTAGGAATAGTTCCAAATTGTTCTCCAGAATGATTTGACCAGGTAACAACTCCACCAACAGTTAGTGTACCTATTTTCCCTCACCCTCTCCAGCATTTGTCATTTCTGATGGGGTGAGGTGATGCCTCAGGGTTGTTTTAATACATACATATATGTGCATATACATATATACATTATATATATCTTTAATCAATAGTGATTTAGAGCATTTTTTTCCTATCACTATAGAAAGCTTTGAGTACTTCATCTAAAAACTGCCTGTTCATATCCTTTGACCATTTAGCAACTGGGGAATGCCCCTTATTTTTATAAATTTGACTGAATTCCCTATCAGACAAACTTACTGTAAAAGTTTTGATATTACTTCATTATCTATGGTATGTTTTAGTAAAATGTAGTTTCCCTGATTCTCTCTTTTAATTGGATCTATTTTGCTTTGTCTGAGATTGCCATGAGATTGTCCTGATTGCTACCCCTACCTTTTTTCACTTCAGCTGAAGCTTAATAGGTTCTGCTCCTGCCCTTTATTTTAACTCCATGTATGTCTTTCTGTTTCAAGTGCATCTCTTATAAACAACATATTGTTGGATTCTGGTTTCTAATGTATTTTGCTATCTGTTTCTGTTTTATGGATGAACTTATCCCATTCATATTTACAGTTGTAATTACTGTGTATTCCCCTCCATCCTATTTTCTTCCATTTATCCTTTAATTTTTTCATCCTGTACTCCTCAAAAGTCCATTTTGCTTCTGACCACTGCCTCTATTAATCCATTTTATCACCCCTTCCTCTTTTATTTCCCCAATGGGTAAGTTACATTTCTACACACCACTGTGTGTGTGTATTATATTCCTCCCTCT